GCTCTGGGCTAAAACACAGGCGTGACTTTCACCAGTCCAAGATGGCGGAGCTTGACTCTGCTGCGTGAAAGACTCAGCGGAGACGTCGGCGGTGGGACAGTATGAGACAGTCTGCTCCAGCACCAGCTAGTCGGCTGTGACTGAACTTTCAAAGTAAAATTCTTGGATAAATACAGAGCAGTGTGCTCTGAACTCCTCAAAGCATGTTTCAAACATAAAACAAGACGGTGGACAAAACCCAGCAGAGAGAGGACGCTGCTGTCTCTGAGCTGAGGTGTTCAGGAAGCTGTGGAGAAATGACTCCCCAAAGAAAGACTGTGACAGCATATGGCCCTGGGTGTTTCCATCACTGGATCGATTAGTTTTCATCATAAATAAATTTAATAAATTAAATGAATTACATTTTAAAACCACAAAAAGCAAACAGGGGAATTTTTCAGCAGCAGAAGAAAACAGATGATAGTGTGAATAATCGGGCACTCGTTACAGGACAACAGGAGCTCTGTTTTAAACAGCACTCACATCAGGAAGCGTCTCCGGGGCGTATGGTTTGAAGACGCAGCTGCAGGCGTGTAACACTGACCCGACAGCGGAGAGGACGAGTAAAACCAGGCCGAGCAGTTTAATATTTACACTGTCAACAGTGAGCGCTCGTACACACCACAGCCCACAGCAGTGTGGGGGATCAACAGCAAGTGCAGAAAAACACTGTTTGGATTTTAGACTCAGGATTTGATTAAGAGACAATTAAATACAACAAAATCAAAAATACTGAGAGGGAGAAACACGGACGTCAAGGTCAAATCCTCACAACACACTCGGGCCAAATTATGGGAAACAGGAAAGAAAAAAAGGCAGAAATTTAGCTGAAAGTCACACGAACATTCACATTTCCCTGTTGGCCATGAATTAAACAAAATAATTTTCCATCTTACGATGCTTTTGCATGATGCCAAGCTTTCTGTTTCTATGGCGCCTCCTCAAAATAGCAACTTTTATCTAATTTGGCCTGAACTACAGGAGCTCTTTGATATAATCAAAGAGTTTCATCAGAAAATACGAGAACATAAATTTCATGGTGCGCTCAGTCTTCCATCATATTTCTGAGATTTGCATCATAAAAGCTCAGCACGGGCTGGAAATCATTAACAGCAGCCTCCATGACTCAAGCTGAACATGATGATGGGAACTAAGCTGAGCTGAAGCATAGAAAACAAACAGAAGTACAACTGCTGCTTGTTTCTGTGCCGATTATTACCCAGCTAACACACAAAGTGTGTCCCTGCAGTGTTGTTAATGTCAGTTATTGCCTTCAAATATATCTGTGACGAGTATCTCCAGGTCACTAATCCAAGAAGCCGGGAAAGAAAAGCGATCAGATTCTTTAGGTTTGTTGCTTCATCCCAGAAGCTTCTTCAGTTCTGAAACCAAATGGAGCAGAGTCCCAGGGACTTAAGCCTGAGTGGGAGTTGACCCTTAAGAGTGATTCATCAAATGATTCAATGTGTGAGAATGGGTGTGGGTCATTATCAGCAGAGGTTTCAGGTGAAACTATTGTGAGACCTTGCCTCACTCTGTCATGTGACTTATTGAGAACACTTGACCCAGGATGTGAGTACAGCTTATTGTACCAGCATGTATCTGCTCTTATATAACTATCACTAGCTTACAGCTTGAAGTGTTTAAGGTCTGTGCTAACTAAAAATAAAGACAAGATGATAGTTTATTAAATTTTAATTAAATGTGCAGATTGTTTCGGTGAAGTTTAATAAACTCA